GATTGAAACTTCGTGGCCCATGCACAGAAGTAAGTATTTTGTGGAAGAGCCACACTTAAGGGGCCAAAGAGCTGCATGTGGCTCGCGAGCCGCAGTTTGCCGACCACTGACCTAAGGGAATTTAACCCAGAGAAGATTAAAAAAAAAAAGTAGGTGGAAATAAAGCTTCTTTCAAGTAAAGAGGCTATTAGTGAGTGAAAGATAGACGGCTCCTTCTCTGCGGTTCCAGAAACATGAAGAGCACTAGGTGGATGTTGGATCAGAATGGGAGGAGCTTTCTAAAAGTCGGCACTGCGGGAGAGAAACAGGCATTTGCAAAGGGACTCCCAACAACCTCCGGGTCCTGCGACAGCTACACCTGGATCTGTCCTAGGCTGTGCCTAACGTTGAAGTCTGAAGACGTGTACCCCCACCGCCTCCCACCATGGCCTCCAAACCCAGAACCCCCGGGCGGCTGTATCCCAGGAAGACACCACCTTCCCCAGCCTGACCTCCCAGGAAGCAGGGGATGCGCGCCGGGCGGTTGGTGAGGACGCAGGGGTCATCGTGCAGGTTGTCGAAGGGCAGCAGGTCCCGGCCGTTGTCTCTGAAGCGCTGGTTGACGGCCAGCAGCCCGTGGTAGTTGGTCCGGTTGCGAAGGCGCAGGGCGAGGGTGACCTCGCTGCCGTACACCATGCTGGCGTCCACGAAGGAGGTGAGTGCATTGATCTGGTTTCGAACGATGTTCTTGTTTTGGGGGCATGAGACGGCCGAGCGGAAGAAGGGGATGCAGTCTTGCTGGTTCTTGATTCGGGGGTCATTGGCCGGAATCTGAGGTGCAAGAGGAGACAGTGACACTGGGGCCCCTTAAGAGCAAGCGTATCCTTCTTGGTCCTCCCACACTTGCTTCAAAACCTTGCTTCAAAGTCTCCTCCTTCAGGAAGCCCTCCTTGACTCATCCAGACTCACACTGCTCACCAGGTCAGTTTGAAGGTCCTTAGGACTTTGTATCACAGATTCATGAAAGGTTAGAAATGGAAGAAACCTTCGATCCTCATTTTCCCGGTGGGGAAACTGAGGCTTGGAGATGGGAAGTGACCACTAGTTAGCAGGAGAGGAAATATTGAAACCTAGTTCTCTTGACAGGCCTGGGCTCCTTTCATTCCATTCAATTCAACAGATATTTCCTAAGCCCCTTTCTGTGCCGGGTGCTCTGGAGATATGAAGATCAGCAAAACCCAGTACAGGTTGCAGGAAGCTGGCAATTCAGTTGAAAACAGACACATACTAGTATATAGAGAAAGTAACTCTAAATTGTGTGCCCTTTGCTATGCTTGATCCAAAAGCCAAAAGTGACAGGTGAAATAGGAAGATTCAGGAAGGCTTCCCAGAGGAGGTGCCCCTGACCCAGAGCTTGAAGAATGGGCAAAGTTGCACCAGGGAGGAGCCAGCCAGGGGCCCTCACAGGTCAGGCCCCATGGAGATCCCCTTACCTGTGAGGGTGAGTGCAGGGGTGAGGGTGTGTGTGGAGGAGTGTGTGCACCTGCGCCGGCCCCCTCCCCCCATCCTCCACCCAGCAGAGGCTCTGCTCCCTGGAATGCACCTATTTTTCCCTGGTGTCCACACCACCCTTGCCTCTCAGCCTGAAGGATAGCTCCCTGCTCACAGCCCATCCCCGGAAGGAGAGAAGGTGAGAGCTCCTCTCAGCCTGAAGGATAGCTCCCTGCTCACAGCCCACCCCTGGAAGGAGAGGTGAGAGCTAAGAGACTCTAAAGTAGTGGTTCTCAATCTTCCTAATGCCGCGACCCTTTAATACAGTTCCTCATGTTGTGGTGACCCCCAACCATAAAATTATTTTCGTTGCTACTTCATAACTGTAATTTTGCTACTTTATGAATCATATTGTAAATATCTGATATAAGATACAGGATGTATTTTCATTGTTACAAATTGGACATAATTAAAGCATAGTGATGAATCACAGAAACAATATGTAATTATATATGTGTTTTCCAGTGGTCTTAGGCGACCCCTGTGAAAGGGTCGTTCGACCCCCAAAGGGGTCGCGACCCACAGGTTGAGAACCGCTGCTCTAAAGGCTTCCAAAAACAGCAGCCTAGGCTTCCACCGTCGGGATCAAACCTACGGGTCAAAGCCAGTCTGTCGATTGCTTCCCCTTCCCTGAAGCCTGCACGGAACCTCCTGGCAGATTGCCCACCCCCACCCCCACCCCTCCAACCGCTAAGAACTGGAGTCCATAGCGGCTGTGCTTCCTGTCTGTCTGATCCTCCAGCGTCACGGACAGCTCCTTAGGGATGGTGCTAAGTCTTCCAGATCCCACCCCCAGCTCTAGGCCCTGCATGGAAGCCAGGGGCCTGGGAGTTGGCTGCGGGTACCTTGATGGGGAAGCAGGGAGGCAGCTGGGCACAGGTCCTCTCGCAGTCAACGCCTGCGGTGAAGCCCACTCTGGCTGGGGTCTCGGGGGAGAAGTCCAAGTCGTGGTCGATGAACTGGCCCCACTGCATGAACATGAGGGCCCGGCCCTGGTCGGAGGTCACCCTCTCTTGGGGGAAGCGCACGATCTGGTTAGAGACTGCCCGGACCTGGTGGGGAAAGAGGGCAGCGTTGGGGGGTGGGGGGCTCTGGACCCCGAAACCCAGCCTCAGGGGGCAGCAGGTTGCCTCTGCCAGAGTTAACACAGTGTCTCCTCCTCTCCTGCCCTCCCCTCCCCTTTCCTGCGTTGTCCCACCTCCCCTGGCTGTCAATCCCAGAAGGATGGGCTCTGGCCTGGCTCCTGAGGGTTCCAGGAGGAAAGAGAAGGGGAGAGGCCAGGTTGACTGGCTCAGACTCCACCAGCACTTCCAGAGAGGTTATTACATAAGACTGATAGATCAATTTATAAACTGATGGAAAACTGGATGATAGAAATGATTGATAGGTGCATGGATTGGCTGTTAGGTAATGGATAATGTAGAGAGAATGGATAGATCAATAGAAGAAAAATTAATAAACAGATGTTGATAGATTGTTATATTGACATATGAATAGAAATGGATAAATTGATAAGTATGAAATAGTACAGATCAATAGATATAGCTAGATTAAGATGTATGTCTCTTTATACAGAGGTGGGCAAAAGTAGGTTTATAATTGTAATACAAATCAGTAATACAATAATTAATAAATAATACAAGAATAAATTCTGTTTAAATTCATACTCAACTGTAAACCTACTTTTGCTCACCCCTGTATTTAGCAAGATACTTTGACACTAATTCTTTGAGAGAAAAAAATACTATAATGGCTAGTATTAATAAATTATATCATATATGGGTATTTCTTTAATACTAGAGGTCTGGTGCACGAAATTCGTGCACAGGTAGAGTCCCTAGGGCTGGCCAGCAATCAGGGCCAATTGGGGCCTTCTGGCTGCTGGCTGGGGCCTTCCTTCGTTCCACGCCGCCCCCTGGTGATCAATGCACATCATAGCAAGCAAACAAACTCCCAATCTCCCAGTTGAATTCCCAAGGGGACAATTTGCATATTAGCCTTTTATATATATAGATTCATGCCAGCAACATGAGGCAGGTTTTACTGCCGTTTTACAGATGAGGAAACCAAGACTCAACACTATTACCTGCCCAAAGTCACCCAGCCCGCCAGAGGGAGAGCCTGGGTTCCAGTCCGTCTGGCTGACTCTGGGCTGTGCTTTTACCCCTCCCCCACCCCCTTGCCCCCAAGTTTAGCAGAGATCAAGCATCCTCCAGGTCCTCAGTCCCTACTCACAAGAGGGAGGAGGAAGCCATTGCGCCTCTTGCCAGGGGTCCAGCCGAAGGGGAGCGACAGCCCATCCTCATACTCGGCCGGCAGCCAGCGAGCCAGGGCAGTGTTGGAGGCCCCCAGCCAGGGTCTCCTCCTGCAGCAGTGGGAGCATTCGGGTCAGCAGGGTTCCGGTGTGAAGACCATTCAGCGTATAGGGAGGGGTGGTGAGGGAAGGGAGGCTCCCCCGGGGCAGGTGCAGCCCCTCGCTCCCACCTGTTATTACATCTCCCCGTGATGGTTCGGTACTTGTCACTGCACTTCTCTTCCTGCTTCTGGGCAGTACAGCCACTGGCCTTGGACAGCAGCCACAGCTGGGATTCCGTCAGCAAACCTGGGGGTGGGGCAGGCAGACAGGATCCTGGATCCAGGCTCCTGGCTCCTTCCTGGGCTGGTCTATTCTGTACCTCCCTCCCATCCCTTTACTCTCTCCCCTGCCAACACCCCAAAGCTGTGCACCCCTCCCCCTCCTGCCTTCCTTCCACTCCCAGCCCTGGGGGCTCAGTGGGGAGCATGGTACCAGTGACATTGAAGGAGCTGGACCCCTGGCGTTGTAACTTCTCCTCCAGCAGCCCCAAGGCCACGTGCATATAATCTGCAGCCTGAGTGATTGTCCTGGTGGCCGCTACCGGCTGTTTGAAGTAGAACAGGAGGTCCGTGGGGCGGGCAGAGCCGCTGAGAAGGCGCTGCTTCATGCTGCCCAGAAGAGGAGGAGGGGGAGCTGATTTAAGGCTGCACAGCCACCCAGCAGAGCCCCATCCCGGGCGGTGGGCAGTCGGGACAGTGTGAACAGATGGAGGGAAGGGAGGATCTCTACCAACATGGCACTGCCCCCGTGGTGCCCAGGGGCAGGGTGATGGGTGAGATGACCGTGGTTGGAGCCCACCCTCCCTCAGTGACCCCTCCCAGGCCCACACAGACCCCAGACCCAGACCCACCTCCTCTGAGTCTGATTGTAGGCGGCATCCACCAGGAATTTGGCCTCTGTGATGCAGCTCTGAAGGACCGAGGTCTCCACGGCCCCGGGGGGAGCTGCTCAGAGGGAAGGGGACTCAGGGTCCATGGGAGCCACAGCCCCCCAGACCCAAGCAATTCCCCCTCCATTGCCCTTCCCCAGGGCTGTCCAAGGGGCTATTACCTGGGGTGGTGCCCTCACAAGGCTGGGCCAGGACGAGTGTGAGGACGAGCCCTGCCAGGGCCAGGAGCAGCTTCCTCTCCACAGTGAGACCCTGAGCCACACGAGTAACACCCACGTCGTCGCACATTCTAGCGGGTCTCCTGCTCCCTTCTCACCCGGGGGCCCCACGCTGACCTCTCCCCTCCTGCTCTTCTTCGGAAGTGGCTGGGAAGGGACTTTTATATCCAGCCCTAGGGTGGGGCAGGGGAGCTCTGGGCCCCAGAAGCCCAGCCTCTTGAGGTGGAGCTCTAGAATTTCCCTCTTGATTTTTTGGGGGTGGGGAGGGGGGTTGTGGGACTGAAATCCCCACCCCACCCTGCCACTCAACCAGCCTAGGGGCCTCCTTCCCCCCGTCCACTCACCGAGTCCCACCCTCTCTGCTACCGAGTTCACTGACCCTGTACATGTCTCTCAGGGAATGTTTGCTGGATGCCCGAGGAACAGCCTGCCTCGCCAGAGCCCTGGGCTTGGCCCTGCCACTCACTAGTTGTACGGTCACTACCTACACTCAGTTTCCACATCCTGAACATGGGACTCGGGCCAGATGACTGGAAACGCTCCTCTCCTGGCCCAACAGGGCAGAAACTGGGGCTGCCTTACTCT